TTTTTTTTTTTTTTTGCGCACAAAAAGTATTCTCGTAGCATGTTATGTTTATATATTAAATGTATATACATTTATATATTTATATTATATGTAAATATTTTCAAAATATATACTGTATGTGTGTGTATTATTTATATATACATAATAAATAAACACAGTACACATACATATATTATGTAAACAAAAACTTTTATTTTGGATGCGATTAATCATTTGACAGCACTAATATTCATACATGTGTATATATATATTTTCTTTTTTAGTGCCATGAAAAGACCTCGCTGTGGAGTGGCAGACCATTTTGAGGAGTCAACAGAGGGAGGTACTCGGCGTAAGCGGTACGCACTTACTGGCCACAAATGGGATCAGGACAAGCTGACTTACAGGTGAATTAAACCTCAAAACCAAAAGAACAAATTCAGTTTACATTGTTCAAGTTAATGATCATCAAGCTAATGATGAGAAAAAAAATCTTTATTTCCTGCCCAAGTATTCAGAACCACTCACCCAAAGTGGGCCAGGAGCAGACCTACGAGGCTATTCACAAAGCCTTCCAGGTTTGGGAGAAAGTAACGCCTCTGCGGTTCGAGGAGGTCCCGTATCACGAGATAAAGAATGGCAGTGAGGGGCCTGACATAATACTACTGTTTGCCTCTGGGTATCATGGCGATATGTCTCTCTTTGATGGGGAAGGAGGCTCTCTGGCACACGCTTTTTTCCCTGGTCCCGGAATGGGAGGAGACACACATTTCGACATAGACGAGCCATGGACCTTGAACCAACAGGAGGGCTCAGGTGTGAACAATTTTCTGCAGTCTTTTTCCTACTTCCAAGTAAATTTACTTTTTTTTTTTTTTTTTACTGTGAATTAGCTTAGCGTTTACTTTTTTCACAGAGAATGTATGAATGTTAGCAGCATTTAAATGTCTTTGAACTGTTCCGAAACAGATTTTTTTTTCTTTGTTTATAGTTTAGTCATTTAATTTGCTGTTCTTGTTTGGTTGTAGGTGTTGACTTGTTTCTGGTCGCAGTTCATGAGTTGGGTCATGCGCTGGGGTTGGAGCACTCCAACAACCCTTCTGCTATCATGGCGCCTTTCTACCAGTGGATGGACACAGAAAGCTTCTCACTGACTGAAGATGATATAAATGGCATTCACCAGATCTATGGTAAGCTAGTCTGAGGTACTTCCTGATTCAGTTAATTAACCTAACTATCTAAATTAGTTCCATGATATGAATTCACATTCATTTGCGTGTTATATGGCTTTTACACAACAGTTCAATAAATTATAGCCTAATATTAAGTAAATTACATCTGCGATACAGTGTTGGAAATCACGTTGTCTATTTTTGTTCTGCCATCGAAAATAATTCCAAACAAAGCCACAATGGAACCATTGCATGTCTGCGGGCAAAATACAGTAGTGGTTTGTTGTTTCTAAATGAGTGAATAATTCAATAATTCACCAATAAAGTCACTTATTTCGTTTCTCACTCATAAAGACAATCACGTTTCGTTCCTGGTTGAATCAGTGTTTTTTATTGAATCGATTAACGGAGTGATTAACTCATTAACAAAGTCACTTGTTTTATTCCTGAATGAATCAGCATTTTTAAATAAATCAGTTAAATGAATGATTCAATGATTCACTCCTAAATACAATCACATTTCGTTCCTTGTTAAATCTGTGTTTCTTAATGAATTGATTGTCTTAATGAGTGAATCACTCAGTTAGTCACTTGTTTCATTCCTGAATGAATCAATGTTTTTTAATAAATCGGTTAACTGTATGATTCAATGATTCACTCAGTTTTGTTTCTGAATGAATCAGTTGAGTGAAGATTCAGTTTCACTTGTCTGTTTTAATGATGTAACCTGCACAAAGAGTCACGAAAAAAATCCCCACCACTAACACAGTCAAGCAACCCAGAGTGATACAAACAGTGAAATATCCCAGGTTTATTTCACTAAATAACAGCACTCTTAGAACGCCACATTCATTTTCAGTGAGTTGTTGATTCAAATTCATTTTTGTCAGTGTTATTCAAATGACGCTTTTGCAGTTGTAAAATGTGCAAAATGTGTATCTGGTGCAACTGTGAGTTCTCACAATGCAGATCAGTCATTATCCGATGATTTCTTTAGGCTTTGCCACATTTATGATATAGTTGTTATCCTCACTTTGCCTGTTTTATGTGCTTGAGTTTTCAGTCCAGTTGCATTGACCTCGCACCAATGAATTTCTCAGCGTATGTCTTTGTTTGAGTCTGTTTTCTCCATTTGAAAGTCTTCCACTGCTGGCTGAATGAGCCTCATGGGCCTTCTGGTGCTGGATGGAAAAGTGACGCGTTCTGTGTCTATGCAGTATGTGTGGAAAAGAGGATGATTAGCTAAGTGTGAAAATGCATTATGGTTTGGTATTTACAGGACCTCCAGAGACTGTCACCACTCAAGTACCTCCCACCACAACCCTGTTTACAACCACTGCTGAGCCGGAGCCCACCACTACAGTGGCCCAACTGAAAACAGCCAGACCCTCGCTGCAACCCACAAGGCCCTGGGTGCCTCCGGTCCACCCCACTAGGAGGTCCCATAGACCCCAACCCACAGCACGCTCGGATCAGGATGCACCTGACATCTGCGAGGGGAACTTTGACACAGTGACCGTACTGAGAGGGGAGATGTTTGTGTTCAAGGTTAATAACAGTGATCTGCAGTAAATGCAGTTACATTGTATAAAGTGGTTCTTCATAAAAAAGCCCACTTAGAACACCTTAGTTACCATATAAATATGTACTAAACCACTAGCAATGTTTAGTTTGTTTTTGACCATCATTTGGATCCGGTGTCTGCAAGAAGATGGTCAAACTTTTCTGATAAGGCATAAATCTCCACATATCTTTGTGGTAAGTGTTATGACTAAATGAATGTTTTTATTCTTTGTCAGGGTCGTTGGTTCTGGAGGGTTAGGAGGAACCGGGTTCTGGATAATTACCCAATGCCGATCTCCTTCTTCTGGATGGGGCTTCCAGAGGACATAGACGCTGCCTATGAACGGCATGATGGGAAATTTGTGTTCTTTAAAGGTCTGAGTCATGAAATAAATGTTTAATCGCTTAATCTAAGTGAGGTTAATTGTTAAAGCAAGAAAAAAGGGTGAAAAATAATTTATTTTTAATAGTTTTATAATAACAAGAAATGTTATTATTAACAATAATAATGATAACAGTAATACACTTTCTGTAATTGTTTTAATTGAAACAAAACTAAAATGCTGATTTTATATTAGTCCTGTCACATTCAAAATAAAGTTTGTTTACATAGTATATGTGTGTTTACAGTGCATGTATACATTATATTATATTATACAATATATTTCTTAAATATATACATGTATGTTTGTGTATTTATATATACATATAAATATACACAGTACACATATATTATGTAAATTAAAACTTTTATTCTGGATGCGAATAATCACGATTTATCAATTTGACAGCATTATTTTTTTGTGTTTTTTTTTTTCTTGATTTTTTTTTTTTCCCCTCTTTTTTTGCTAGTGAAGCTGTAAATATTGTGATCCAAAGTTATTTTTTTGACAGCGATAGAGTATGACAGACATCTTTAAAAACGACAAAGCATCAGAATCATTTAATATTTCCCAGATATCAATCTACTTCTCCTTTAAACATCTGTTCCTCTTGCTGTAACAGCATCTTGGAGTCAAATTATGTCACTTGTAAAACTCTCAGAGAGGAAAGAAGGAAAGTCTGGCAGCATCTCAGGACTTCGCCTGCATTGCGTCAGCTTCAGCTCCAGATGCTGACTGCTCGGTTCTCATTTTGAGAGAAGAAACCTGGAAAATTTGCAGCAGGGCATGTGTAGTAGAAAGAGCTACAGTTATTGTTTTGTTGTTTATGCAGATTGTGAGATTTCAGGTTTCATTTGTGCATTTGTTTGAGGGGAACTTTGCTTTCATGCAGCACAAAACATCTTCTGTGCCATCTCAGTAATTGAATAGATGTCTCTGTGATATCATCTCTCAGCCATGCAACCCCTCCCGTTCAAGTCTTTCCATCTAATGTGGCTTTTTGTCCATTCCCTCTTTGTATTTTGTATCACTCCCGCAGGAAGTAAATACTGGCTTTTCAGAGAAGCAGACGTGGAGGCCGGATACCCTCAGGACTTGTTTCGTTATGGTCAAGGCATGCCTGACAGAGTGGACACAGCAGTGTGGTGGGAACCATCTGGCTATACGTACTACTTCAGAGGAGACAGGTAAACATGCTGGAGCCCTTGTCGAAAAGGCCAGATGTGTCAAGTGTTTGAGAGTTAGCCATTAACAGAACAACATGATATTTCTTTAGCGGGCAGTTTGATCTGGGACTTAAAGGGATAGTTCACCCAAAAATTTAAATCCTGTCATCATTTACTCACCCTCCACTTGTTAAAAAAACCTGTAGGAGTTTATTTCTTCTGAAGACATTTTGGTAACAAGATGTTGGTAACAAAACAGTTGATCGTAGCCATTGACTTCCATAGTATTTTCTTCCATACAATGGAAGTCAATGGCTACTGTCAACTGGTTAACAACATTTTTTGCAATATCTTCTTTTGTGTGCAACAGAAGAAACTCATAGGGTTTGGAACAAGTGGAGGGGTGATTAAATTACTAATTTTTCATTTTTGGGTGAACTAAATTAAAGGATAGTTAACTTAAAAAAAGAAAAAATTGTGTCCACATATTACTTGAACTAACATTTCACCAAAAAAAATCGAAGAAAAATAAAACTGTGTAAAAAAGAAAAAAAAAAAAAAGAAAAGTCAATTTTTATTTTTTTACCATTTTTACCAGAAATTGCTTGGCAGTATATTTTCAAGCATATCCCCTTCAAAAAGTATTATACCTATATAATGGGGGGGAAAAAGTTTAATTAAATACATATTTCAGTTTTTTTCCATTATGATATTAAGAATTAAAGATGCAGTAGTAGATCTTGGAAAATGCTAACTTTAGCCTGATAGCACTGAAAGCGAACGTCCCTCCCTCCCTACAAAACGCCATCCAAAGCCACACCCCCTGAATGCGAGCAGATCAGACAATCAGAGACAACATTACTACAATACATCATGTGTCATACACCGGTGAGAAAACTATAGTCCCGTTAGTAAAAGTACTACAATACCAGGAAGGAAGATCAGGTTGTTGATGTTTGCCTGCCGTTCTCGCTCTGTCTGCACATCGTACGTGAACGCGCTGATGACGTATTCTGTCTGCGCAAACAGGGTGCGCAGAGGTATGCAAATACATTTGTTGACAGGCAGGTAGGAAAGTCAATAAAAACGCTCGCAACGAGCGTTTTGATTGGATGAACATTTCTTGGTCCTATGCCTTCCACAGAAAAAAAGAAAAAATTGTGTCCACATATTACTTGAACTAACATTTCACCAAAAAAAATCGAAGAAAAATAAAACTGTGTAAAAAAGAAAAAAAAAAAAAAGAAAAGTCAATTTTTATTTTTTTACCATTTTTACCAGAAATTGCTTGGCAGTATATTTTCAAGCATATCCCCTTCAAAAAGTATTATACCTATATAATGGGGGGGAAAAAGTTTAATTAAATACATATTTCAGTTTTTTTCCATTATGATATTAAGAATTAAAGATGCAGTAGTAGATCTTGGAAAATGCTAACTTTAGCCTGATAGCACTGAAAGCGAACGTCCCTCCCTCCCTACAAAACGCCATCCAAAGCCACACCCCCTGAATGCGAGCAGATCAGACAATCAGAGACAACATTACTACAATACATCATGTGTCATACACCGGTGAGAAAACTATAGTACCGTTAGTAAAAGTACTACAATACCAGGAAGGAAGATCAGGTTGTTGATGTTTGCCTGCCGTTCTCGCTCTGTCTGCACATCGTACGTGAACGCGCTGATGACGTATTCTGTCTGCGCAAACAGGGTGCGCAGAGGTATGCAAATACATTTGTTGACAGGCAGGTAGGAAAGTCAATAAAAACGCTCGCAACGAGCGTTTTGATTGGATGAACATTTCTTGGTCCTATGCCTTCCACAGAATATATAAATATATTTAGACCACTTAACTTAATGATTGCTCTGGGGATGTAAAGAGACTTTCAACCAGCATAACAATAAATGTTTCTGAAGAAAATCACCTATTGCACCTTTAAGACGGTCATATCAATAATATAATAATATATAAAATATAATAATGAAAACAGTTTATTACGAATAAATCACAAATTAAAATGCCTAAAACAAGCTTGATTTTTATTTTTTTTTTGTAGGCAAAATATAATTTCTTGCTTCTCTCTTTTAATTATGGACTGAAATAAATGCCTAAAACAAGCTTTATTTTTTTTTTTTTTTTGTAGGCAAAATATAATTTCTTTTTTCTCTCTTTTAATTATGGACTGAAATATTATCTGGACAAAGTTCTGTAAAATCTATGACTTGTGCCTTTTTTTATTTTGTTGATTCATTAAAAAAATAGTGAACTGATCCTTTGTCTATTAGCATAGACATAGATTTAAAGTATTATTTTCCATTACTGCTTTCTCCTGAAGATATTGGCAGTTTAGTGAAGAATCCCGTGCCGTGGATAAAGATTACCCTAAACCAGTGAGCATGTGGGGATCCATTCCTGGCTCCCCGAAAGGGGCCTTCCTCAGCGATGATGGAGGTGAGTCAGGCTGGGGGATGCTGTGACGAAAATGTCACAGCTGAATGCATGAAAAAAGAGAGACAAGTCCATTAATCCAAAGCTGAGAGGGAAAATGTGACCTCATTGCTAAAAAACTGGGGTGCAATAAGACCTTTGACTTGAAAACGTTCTGCTCTCACTTCTAATTTCACGCCATAGTTCATGATCGTCTTTGGCACGTCTTTTTATAGCTCTGGAATTCAGAGCCTGGCTAGAATCTCATTTGATCAAACATTTGCCAATGATTACATGGAATTATTAGTCACTACTGTATTTATATACGCTAATTAACATTCTAACTCTTTTCTACACAGCGTACACTTACTTCTACAAAGACACCAAATACTGGAGGTTCGATAACAAGCGAATGAAGGTTGACGCTGGATACCCGAGATCCATTTTAAACGATTTCATGGGCTGTCGGGTGCACTTTGACGCAGAAACGGACGTAAAACCCGACCATCGATCACCAGAGACGAACGACAAGAATCAAGATCCTGACAACGAAGAAAGTACAGAAGACGGAATTGATGACGAAGAAGACGAGAAAAAGGAAGTAGATGTCATTTTAAGAGTGAACGAGACTGATGAAAACATCATGACCCTCATTTTGGTGACTGTGCCTCTGGTTCTGGTGCTGTGCATTCTGGGAGTCATATACATCATCATCACCACACTCCAGAGGAAAGAGACGCCCAAAGTGTTAGTTCACTGCAAAAGATCCCTGCAGCAGTGGGTCTGAAAACACACTTTCGCTACCCAATAGCCAAACCTTTCCGCACATACGTTTTCTGAGAGACGTACACCTTGTCGTTTATGGTGCTCATCCCATCGAAAACCCACTTCCCAATGTAGAATTTGCACTTTTGATTGTTTTGTGGTCATTTTTTACGTTTACGTGTTGCGAGTGATTCGTCCGTCTGCGAGTTTTTCCTCTTGAGCCCGTTCGGTTGTAGACTGTGGGAAACGTTGGATGTATGAAAACAAGCTCAGATCAGCACATTTCTTTCACATCCTCTGCTAACTGGCCTCAATAATGGAGGAAACCGCAAACTCCGTTGCAAGGCCTTGCAGAAAGCGCAGGGTTAAAAGAAAAGTCAGGCTTAATAAATTGTCTCACGCACATTTAGCAGGGTTTATAGTCTCTTCCCCCGTGGAACCTTGCCTGACTTGCATTACACAGATGTTGCTGATTTTGGACTTTATGGAGAGAAAAAGAGGGGGATGGGGGCTTGTAGCCTGCCAGCATTTCCTCTGCCTGAGTTCCACTGAGCGTGCCAAAGACAAGGAGTAGGAGGGAGGAAAGGCCATTCGAGGTGTGGCTGTACTGTCATCGTGACCTACATTAGCGTACCCCTACTTCTTTCTCTCCCCTTAAAGTTTGTCTTCCTGTGGGACTTTCCTTTGTTTTCCCCACTGTACTTCCAGTCTCCCCCAGTTGTGAAGTTTTTGTTTTTGAGAGGCATTCCTGGCCTCGGATTGTGTCCGTCAGTGCCTTTCAAGGCTGAATCTGTGCCTTAATAGTGCAGACCATCACCACTGTGTTGGAAATGTACTTATTTTCACTGACTTCATAGTAGACTTTGTGCAGTTTGAGCAAAAAATGCTTTTCTTTGTTCACGTGGCCTTCAGTGTTTTAAACCGGTGTCTTTTTTGTATTTCATGTCAATATGAATGTGTTTGTGCTTTTTTTTTGTAGTGCCAAATGAAAAACTCTCCCTTAATTTGATGTTTTATTTGATTTTTGATTTGCATTGTTTTGTATTAACAATCGAGTAAATCATGCAGGGCATGTATTGCTTTTGTTCACAGATATTATCTGGTATATAGCTTGCTCACAATAAAATGGAGTATACGGATGTAAGTATCTCTTGAATTTTTTTTGCTTCCTCTGCTGATTGTGCACTTCGTTTTGGTTGGAGTACAATAACACACTTAAACAGTGTGTATATATAGCTTCCATTTTTTTAATCTAAGCATATCAGTTACGTTATGGTAGTGTTGTGTAAATGTTATTTTCCTGCTATTGTGCTGAAGGTGCCAGATGTAGCTGTCTACCCATTGAATCAAGTCTACCTCCAAAGTGATTCCATTTGCTGAACAAAACACTTACAAATTTTAGAAAGAGCTTACAAATTCAATTTATGATGCACGTCATCTGTTATTTTGACCATAAATGTCTTATAAATATTATAGTAGTAATAGTATATTACCAAAACAATAGATAGTTTTTTGAGAACGATCTACTATCATTCTTTGTATTGTTTTAGCTTAGATTTTGAAAGCTAACTCAGGATGCCAGTTTAGCATTCCACTAGCTAATTAGCCTGCTTATTTAACTTGCTCTTATGAAAATTAACCATGGTTTTACTACAAATAAAACCAAAAAACCATGGTTACTATAGTTAAACCATGGTAACCACACATTAACCATACTTTTGCTAAACTAAACCATAGTTTAACCATGATATTTGTAGTAAAATTGTGGTTATACAAATGGTTTTTATTCAATAGAAAAACATGTTTTTATTATAGTAAAATTGTTTATACAATGTTTACAGGTGCATCTCAATAAATTAGAATGTCATGGAAAAGTTCATTTCATCACAATTAAAAGAACCAAAGACTTAAACTACTTCAGTCTGTGTGCATTGAATTTATCTAATACACGAGTTTCACAATTTGAGTTGAATTACTGAAATAAATGAACTTTTCCATGACATTCTAATTTATTGAGATGCACCTGTATTTTCTAAGGGTATAACCTCTGCAGTTGTTGAATTGTGTAATACAGTTTGTTTGATCGGACATTGCGAACAGCTACCCCAACTACCCCTTTAGTGAACTAGCTTAGCACACCACTAACCAATTAGTCAATTAGCTTAGCCTATATTTGCTAATGTTCAATATAATTTTTATATATATATATTCAGTGTTGGGGGTTACAAGTAACGCGAGTTACGTAATCAGATTACTTTTTTCAAGTAACTAGTAAAGTAACGCATTACATCTAAAATAAATATGAATATGCATTAATTCATCTCACTCACTCACAAAAAAAAAAAAAAAAACAGATTCCGTATTCCTCAAAATGAATAAAAAATAATGCAACTCGTCACTTTTGGTGTGAAAAGGCTTTTATATTTGCCAAAAATATAACTTTTTTTATTTTAAAAGCAGACAAGCAAGCCCTGTCCAGATTTAAAAAGTAACGCAAAAGTAACGTAACGCATTACTTTCCATAAAAAGTAACTAAGTAACATAATTAGCTACTTTTTTATGGAGTAACGCATTACTTTTAAAAGTAACTTTCCCCAACACTGTATATATTATGTTTTCCTTTGGTCAGGAATTGCAATGGCTACCCCAAATGCCCCTTCAGTGAACTAGCTTAGCATGCCACTAAGCAAGCTGTCCACTAGCAAATACCCTTCGCAAATGTATTTTATATTTTTATACAGTATATATTATACTTTTAGCAACTGCAACCACACTATCAGTGAACTAACCAATTGATACACTAGTAGCCGATATATATTTTTATGATTTTGTTTTAGGCATTACAAACAGCTACCCTTGTAACCCCTTCAGTGAACTAGCTTAGCATTCTGCTAGCCAATTAGTCTGCTAGCTTAGCCTAAACCCTTTGGAAATGTGTGATATTTTTGTATGTGTGTATAATGTTCAGCTACTTTTTCAGGGAACCAGCTTAACACACCGCTAGTCAGTTAGCCTGCAAGTTTAGCCTGTACCCTGAATGTTTAATTAGAATTTTTTAATACATATTATACATTTTTGTTTGATAGGGCATTACAGCTACCCCCAAGGTTAGTAGGTGGGCTTAATGGTAGGATTGAATTGTTCATGACACTGTGAATCAGAAAAGATGCTTTTTAGTTACAGGTCAGGATCGTGTAGTTACCACATCTACCAGCAGAGGCTAACTGGATCAGCACAGCAGTTGAAGCTACAGCCATTTTTGTTCTTTTTATTTTACGTCACACCTGGCAAATAAGGTAGGGTGACCATACGTCCTCTTTTCCCCGGACTTGTCCTCTTTTTGAACCTAAAAAAATGCGTCAGGTGTTCTAATAATGCTACCTATCAAATTATGCTACCAACACCGTATTTATCCTACTGTAAGGGTAGGTTTAGGGTTGGGGTAGGTGTACAGCACATTATTAGGAAAGGCGATTTGCAAAGATTCATTACAAAACATTATACTCACTTCTTCTGTAGATGAGGCTGGATCATGAATGATTCGTGCGAACATAGACGCGAACATAGGCACATTCCTTTCAGAAACAAATGTAATCCACTGCAGTTCAGCGGCTCAGATGTCAGGAGTAAATGACGACTGCTATGTTCATTATTACATCCAACAACAAAACACCTCAATCACTTGGGAGTCATTTTGGTCAACATCTGCTCCACCAACACACATTTCAGTTCAAACAACTTGTAAAAGTGCATGTAGCATCCTATGACCCCTTTAATAAAGCCTCACACCTTAATATCATGCTGGAAGCAAAATCTTATAGGTAGCACTTTTCGCTATCGAATTATGCTACCTGTTTTAATGGGAGGTAGCAAAATCTGACAGGGTATCACAAATTGTCAGAACACCGGCCGGGATTACTTAATCGCCCAAAATGTCCGGGATTCGGCTGTTTTCTTAATCTCGCTCCCGCTGAATCTCTGAACATTGCCGCCTGCTCCCGCAACATGTGTTTCGCTCCCGCAATTTTTGTGTCCACTCCTTTAAACATTCTAATATATAGAATGCAGAGTATTTAAACCTCTTTTGAATGAGCGTTCGCGCTGTTCACCTTCACTTAGGATTATGCAATCACACACACTCTGTGTAAAAGGGAGCACATCTAGCAAGATCAGATATTTGTCAATGAGTTAAGGGTCTGTTGAGCAGCAAATACTCCAGCATGGCCTTGTCAGTCATCTCTCCTTATTCTCGACCTGTGATCAGTCAAATCTAACTCCTGCGGCTCTTCTTGGATGCAGGGTTGCCAAGTTCGTGTTTTTTCCACAGAATTGGGCTAGTTTTAAACTGTTGCCATGGGTTGATTTTCCCAAGTGGGTTAAAGGTTTGAAATATTGCATAAATTACATTTGACTGAAATGCTTGTATTGAAACGTTTTGCATTCTACCTATGAGAAAACCTTCATGGCCTTTTACATCAACTGTTCCCTCCTGGTGGAATGACCTGCCCAACTCAATCCAAGCAGCTGAGTCCTTAAACATTTTCAAGAAACAGCTGAAAACACATCTCTTTCATCTTCATTTGACCCTCGAACTCAAGCACTCTCTATTATAATGCTAATTCAAATTTTATCTGCTTGTTTTTTTTATTTAAAAAATTTGACCCTCTAACATTTGCACTCTCTATTCTATTTCTATTCTACTTGTTTTATTTAAAAAGAAAAAAAGAGCCTTTAACACTAGCATTCTCTATTCTTTCTACTTATTTTCTTTTTATTTATTATAAATAAAGACCTTCTAACACTTGCATTATCTATTCTTTTTCT